AGCTCAGATTGAGCCTGATTAGAAGATCGAACGAAAGACGTTCCTTATTCCAAAACAAAAGTCATTCCATTGCCGAGAATCGATCCCGAACCTTGCATGTGAGAGCCGTAAATCCTAACCACTAGACCACAACAGACGACATTCTCTGTTGCTGTCACCAGTAGAGCATATCACTGAGCTCAGATTGAGCCTGATTAGAAGATCGAACGAAAGACGTTCCTTATTCCAAAACAAAACTCATTCCATTGCCGAGAATCGATCCCGAACCTTGCATGTGAGAGCCGTAAATCCTAACCTATTCCGAAGCAAAACACGTTGCGTTTCCGGGATTCGAACCAGGGCCTTCGGGGTGAGAGCAGTAAATCCTAACCACTGGACTACAGCAACCTTAACCGAAAAATTTGTAGTGTTCCTTGCAGTTGCACATTAGTGATTCATGCGTCATAAAAGTGCTGTTCAGAACAGCCCAAAACTAACCATTTTACTAAAAGCTCCATCATTTTCCTCCAAAGCACTGTGGACCACTTCGTGTCACTGTAAAGACCGGTTATGCATTCTATGAGGTCCATATCTTGCTGAGCGAAGTCGAATGCATGGCGCATCACTCAGCGAACTATCAACGCCGAGCGTTTTATCCTTTTTTATGTGGAGGATCAAGGCCTCCGTGGCTCAGCGTGTAATGCGCGAGCCACCGGAAAGGAAAGCGTGGTTCGAACTGGTCCTGGGTCCGCGTTTTGCGAATATCTCAGCATCGTAGTAGTTGTAATTGACATCGGACCCTGCCGTAAAAAATTTTGGAAGACAGAAAATAAAAGGTTGTCATGACCGACTATGTGTTCTCTCTTAAGCGGACGCAGAGCGGTCTATCGGTTTCGCCAACATATTTATCCCAGTACGCTTTACAAGAATTTAGGGACACCATGCCTGAACTCATGCAATCACCGTCTCTTCCGTTAGGGCAATTTATGTGGTTTTCGTTGTACACAGACGGTCATACAGAAGGTAACGAACTCTTAGGAGTCTTAGGTTGTCCAGTGGTATTTCTTACCGAACTCTCTAGACAGGCCTTTCTTAAGCAACGTTTTATAGCTACAATTATTTCGCTTTAAATAAAGGACGAGATGAATGGAGCCTTATTCTAGCTAGAATTGCCGTTTTTGGGCGTAGTTCTTCTTAACATGCTAGTGCCAAGAAAGGACAGTTTCGAAACCTTTTGAAATGGCTATTTGGCTTGCCAATTTCAAGGATTCTTCCTTTTTCTCTCTACCTGTGTACACGCTGGCGGCGGTTCGAAACATTTCTCTTATGAGCGATTTTTTGCTGTGTGAGGGGTGAGAGGAAAAGTAATGAGCCTGTATTTTTTCACTACTATGCTTTCCATACCATTCTGTAATGCAGCCGTTTTCGGATAGGTTAATTCCAACGCTCAGGAATGGAAACCAATTTCTTTCGGATTCTCTTGAGTGATAGTTCCCAGGATCGACTTTCTCTTAACCTCGGCATTGGAATATGAATGTGTCGTTTTCTTGTTCAGCAATCGCGAGATTTTTAAACAGCATACATTTACTTCCATAAAAACACAATACAATACAACGCTAGCTGACGTTTCGGCAGTATCGCCTTCTTCAGAGCCTGGAAGGGTATACTGATATACAATCTACTAGGCCAAACGCTTCAATAACACTTACACAAAGACGAAAGACTCTTTGGTAATCACACGATCAACAACTTCTCGAAAAACCCACCGCTTTTTCGTGACTTCCAATGAGGAAGTTTAGAACAGCTGATGATAGTCGCATGTGGTTGACGACTGCACCATCCCACATCAAAAATCGATGCGAACGTACGGGATCAGGTCGCGTATGACCTCCGGGCATTCGTCCCTGCTATTCATTGTAGGGTTTTTGGCATTGATCCAAAAAGCCTCTAGGAGTTTTCGAGCTGGTGTTTTGGACTCCTGTGCAAGGGTATTGACTTTTACTTCAAAATCGTCTCCGCTAAGCTTTTGTATCCTATGCGTGCCTAGTGGGGTGCTTCGTCTTAGTTTTCGTTTGCCATCTAGGTGTTCTTTTATACGGATACACAAAGGTCTGCCCGTTTCGCCAATATATTCATCTCCGCAATTGTTACACGAGATCAGGTATACCGTACCTGAACTCATGCAATCACCGTCCCTGCCGTAAGGGCAAATTACGCAATTTGTTGTTTCACACAGACGGTCATACAGGCGGTTGCGAACTAATTGGCGACGTAGAGTAGTCGNACTTCAAAATCGTCTCCGCTATGCTTTTGTATCCTATGCGTGCCTAGTGGGGTGCTTCGTCTTCGTTTTCGTTTGCCATCTAGGTGTTCTTTTATACGGATACACAAAGGTCTGCCCGTTTCGCCAATATATTCATCTCCGCAATTGTTACACGAGATCAGGTATACCGTACCTGAACTCATGCAATCACCGTCCCTGCCGTAAGGGCAAATTACGCAATTTGTTATTTCACACAGACGGTCATACGGGCGGTTACGAACTAATTGGCGACGTAGAGTAGTCGGTGGTATTTCAACTATCGCTACCGATTCCTCTAGACCTGCCCTTCTTAAGCATCGTTTTATAGCTGCGCTTACTTCATCGCTTATAAAAGGCAATATAAACGGGATTTTGTTTTGGCCAAGTGTTTCGCGTGGGCGCGTCGTTCTCGTTGTAAACTTATCTCGTGGGGTTACTATTTCGTAGCCATTGGAGATGGCTATTTGCCGGGCCAAGTCGCGCGATTCTTCCTTTAGTTCCCTGGTAGTGCACACAGAGGTGGCTGTTCGAAACATGTTTCTCACAATCGCCCTCTTTGTGTGTGAAGGGTGGACTGTGTGTGTGTGAACTGCTCGATCTTCAGATGGTCTGGGAAATATTTCGCGCAAATAAGGGGGTTGGCAATGGGACAGCGATTGGCGCCAAGCCTGGCCATTGTGTTTATGTCTAAGATAGAAGCCCCTGTTCTCGATCTCCGGCCACTACTCTACTGCAGATATGTAGATGATTGTTTTGTCGTCTTCTCTACGCAGGAGGAGATGGACAAATGCTTCGAATTATTAAACGAGCAGTCCGAGTACATAAAGTTCACCCGGGAGAAACCGAGAGAAAACTGGCTTCCGTTTTTGGACGTCCAAATAAACCTATCAAGTAGCGGTTACCTGACAAAGTGGTATCGAAAGCCAAGTAACAAGAACAGTAGAGTAGTGGCCGGAGATCGAAGTAAAAGTCAATATCCTTGCACAGGAGTCCAAAACACCAGCGCGAAAACTCCTTGAGGCTTTTTGGATCAATGCCAAAAACCCTACAATGAATAGCAGGGACGAATGCCCAGAGGTCATACGCGACCTGATCCCGTACGTTCGCATCGATTTTTGATGTGGGATGGTGCAGTCGTCAACCACATGCGACTATCATCAGCTGTTCTAAACTTCCTCATTGGAAGTCACGAAAAAGCGGTGGGTTTTTCGAGAAGTTGTTGATCGTGTAATTACCAAAGAGTCTTTCGTCTTTGTGTAAGTGTTATTGAAGCGTTTGGCCTAGTAGATTGTATATCAGTATACCCTTCCAGGCTCTGAAGAAGGCGATACTGTCGAAACGTCAGCTAGCGTTGTATTGTATTGTGTTTTTATGGAAGTAAATGTATGCTGTTTAAACACCTCGCGATTGCTGAACAAGAAAACGGCACATTCTCTTGAGTGAATTTTATTTACTCTGACTGTTTGTTCAGCAACTAAACATTTGTACATCTCCTCTTGTGTGGAACAGATGACAAGGCAATTGTCTATAGATCTACAGTAGAGTAATGGGCTGCGATTCATTATTAGTGCATCTGTCTTAGAATAAAGGCATTGACAAGGCTTGGTGCCAGTCGCTGTCTCATTGCCAATCCTCACATTTATGCGAAATATTCCCCGGACCATCTGAAGATCGGGCAGTTTAGGCACACCTTTAGAAGGGCCATACTGCTGCTAATCAAGAAGCCGTACATGTTCATTACTCCTACGTAATGTGCGAAATTTTGTCGAATAACGCGTTTTAAACGTGCGTTGTTGAACGAAGAGTACGTAGCACTCACTCGAGAGAAACGGAAAGAAACTAGCTTATATTTTTTAACGTTCGAATTTACTTATCCGAAAACGGCTACATCACGAAATGATACCGGAAGCCAAGTAACAAGAAATATACTGGATCAGTATCCTCTCGTCGTGAAAGCGTTGATCAGATTGGAAAAGAATCCTACATTTTCGTCCATAAACAAGGAAAAGGGCATATTATTATCTTGTTATACTGTCTTTTTTTTCCAGCGGAATCCTAATGGCAAATCGGATAATCTTACACCATGTCCTTAGAAAGGTCACCGAACCATTCGTGGTGATTTGCTTGCAACACTGTCTCTTGGCTATCTCAAGACTCAGTGGAAGCACTCCAATAATCTTAGCAAATCCCGTCAAAAGTTCGTTTTAATCGCATTTTGGAGTGCGAAGAAACTTTTAAACCGTTGCTCAATTACGATATTCAGGTTGTTTAAAATTTCTTCGTCTAGGTCCTGGCTAGCCCATATGTAGCCGCATTCAAGCCGATCCACCATCCATGTGCTCTTTTATTTCCCCTTTACTGTCATTAGTTAGGAAGGAGTTCCTGAACATAAGATTTTCGTTGACCCCTAATCAAGTTCTTTCCTTTTGCCATTATTGCATTAATGACGTCTCAACGGTGACGAGCGCCGAACAACGAGCCTCTCCATTGGTGGAAGGGTAAAAAAATTCATGAAGGTAAGCCGGTTCTGCCTTATCGCCGGTAGTGCACGTGATTTACGCCTATTCAGGCCAACCGAATGTCATTAACGAGCGAAATATAAACTAACTGTCGCTCTTCGAAGGACATTAACAGATTTTTTTCAAATAATCGACTATTCGATTACCCTATTACTAAAATTACCACACACTTAAGGTGCTAGAAAAACAAAAAGCTTTCATAAACAGATCCTCAAAATTCGATGTTTTTCTTCAATAAACAGACACGAGGTTGTTATTCTAGAATTTATTAGAATACAATAGCTGACGTTTCGGCGGTTTCGCCTTCTTTAGAGCCGTTTATTTGTTGTGAGTATTTAAGTTAGTTGGTGGATACCAGCCGCACAGAGGGGGCGATAACTGGCAGTTATTACTTATTATACTTATATACTTATACTTATTGAAGAAAAACATCGAATTATCAATCAATGCCGAGGTTAACAGAAAGCCGGTCTTGGGAATTAACACCTAATATCTGCGCTAACAGTGATGTTGTCAAGGAAGCATTAGTGCGATTGGAATGTGTGGAAATATCAAAGGAAAACAAATTATTAGTGTTTCTACGTTCGCTTCAAGTTCATGTTTTTCTGTTTCATTTCAAGGGTTTCTTGTTTTCAGGAGTATGATTTCTTCCAAAATCTTGAAATGCACGTACGCGCCAACTTTCCTCCACTGTGTGGTCGAGATCACCTCGCATTCAGATCTTATTATCATCCTTGCAAGGTTTGTCATCAGACTCCGCTTTTCCGGATTTGCCTCAAACGTGAATAGGAGGGTGCTCATTCGTTTTAAAACTCGAAATTCCAATGGGAATCCACTTTAAATATCCATTGTTACCTCTTGATCGCTTTTATCGTCTCGTTGTTATTATTTTACCGTTTACAGAATGTGATTGACGGCGATCTTTGTGAACAGTTTGGTTTGATGGACGCGGCTGCTCAGCGAGAAGTCACCGAAGGTCTGGATCGCACTATTAGCGAGGTACTTCTGTCTATGTTTTGTTACACTTCTGTGTTACTTCTTTATCATGCTTTGTTATATCATTTTTCACCTAATATGTGCCCTTTTTCCAAGTCTGCAATATTTTTTAGATACCTCAGACTCCAGTTATATTGCACGATATAAAAGGGAGATCGTGTACTTGCGTTGTAAGAAGTGTTGTTGTTTACTTAATATTTCCCTAATTGTTTATTTAATTTTACACAGGTGCAATTATATCACAAAAATTATTTAAGAAAACAAATTCAAACGAAGAAAGTTGTGGCTGTCACTGAACTAAATAATTGTTGAGATATGAGTAATCCTGAAAACTGTTAGACTTCGTATCTGCGACTATCCGTAACGGGACTTACTAGCATTCCACCACACGAACCGAGGCCCCTAATTGGTGTTATCTGCAATGTGCAACCGGTCAAGGGAGTGACCTGGTAACACAAATCGAATCAAATCAAGCCTGAGGTATGGCGCCAGGTCACACTCGCTGACAAGACACTTCTCCTTGCGGTTCAAACGCTTCAAGAGTTTCACGCGCCGATGTTTTCTGTTCGTGCGTGAGGATAGTGACTACTACTTCGAAATCTTCTCCGTTGCGTCCCTGCATCCTATGCGCTCCTTGTGAAGTGTTTAGTTTTAATTTAGATTTACCGACTAGGTGTTCTTTTATACGTACGCAGAGTGGTCTACCCGTTTCGCCAACGTATTCGTCCCCTCAGGCTTTACAAGAGATCAGATAGGCTGTATCCGAACTCGTGCAATCACCGTCTCTACCGTTAGGGCAAACTGCAGTTTTTCGTTATACATAGACGGTTATATAGGCGGTTGCGAACTAACTGGCGTCTTAGAGTGTTGGATGGTATTTCTATCACTTTTACGAAATTCTCTAGACTGGCCCTTATTAAGCAACGTTTTATCACCTGTATCACCTGTAGACACCTGCGGTCCAGAGTTTTGCAAATATCTCAGCAACATTGTGGTTGTATTTCGCTTAGTAACCTGCCATGAAAATTATAGAAGGCAGAAAACAAAACGTTAAAACATTGTGATTTCTACAGTTATTGTTTTCCATAAGGGAACACAAACGCAATACCTGTATAGTCTGCGATAGAAGAAAATGATATGTTAATTCAGGTGCCGTACGAGTTATTTCACGAGCAAACACATTTTATCTGCGTCAGAAGAATTATACATGGAGCAGATACTTACTGAGTTTATTGTTGCAACCAGTCTATGACGACAATATCAGCCACTTTTAGCGCAAACGGTTGTCAAGAAGAAAAGTCATTCAATTAGTCACATGAAACATGATAGTGATATACACATGTATATACATATATACGTAAATGCATATAGAAATATATCACCTGTCACCTGTGTCACCTGTAGTCCCGCTGAGCGTCGGATGATTCGAGCGGGCGCCAGTAAATCTTCCATTTTTCCCTGTCGCTTGCGCAGCCTAGTGGGTCCTGCTTAAGACTGCTTTTATATCAACTGAATCAAAGGCCTTCTGTAAATCGATGAGACAGAGCGGTCTTTTGTACTTTCGCGATCCTTCAATGAGCCGTGTTACTGTGTGGATGTGGTCCATCGCTCTAAATTCCCTTCGAAACCTTGCTTGCTCACATGGCTGTCCTTCGTCTATTGTTCTGTCAATCCTGTTTAGAATGGCTTGAGTGAAAAGTTTGTAGACGACAGTCAGTAGGCAGATTGGGCGATAGTTGCCGATATCGTGTAGGCCACCCTTCATGAACCATAACACGGTCTTGCTGGTCTTCCACTGAATAGGGACCTTGCATTCAGACAGGTAACGTATGAACAGCCGAGCCAGTGTGTTTACGAAGACTGGCGGAAAGTTCTTCAGGTGTTCTGGTCTTATCCTGTTCGGACCTGGTGCTGTTCGATTGTTCGCCGACGAAATGGCATGTCGGATTTCGGAAGGGAGAACCGGTGGTACAACATATCCATCCTCCTTCATTTCATATGACAGAAGGTGGACGTGGCTATCGAAGAGATCCGAGTAGTATTCGTGAATGATTTTCTCCACTGCCTTTCTGGACGCTGTAACTGTTCCGTCTGCGCGTCGAAGCGCAATCACCTTGGTCTTGTAGTTGGCAAAGCTTTAGTGGGCTTTCCTAGCCTCTGCAGCTTCGGCGATTACTGCTGCTCTTCGCTCTTTAACATCTTCTTTTATCGCCTCTCTGCATTGTTTTGCAGGTTCGAACGTTAGTTAGCGGTTGCCTGCAGCTCGTGCGAATCCACACTGACGTATCAGCTCGAGTGCTTCTGGAGGCAGACGTCTCTTGGTGACTTTCGAACTCACAGCTTTCATAGCGCTAGCGTGAAGATGTTGAACGAGCCGATCGTATTCTTCGTCGATGTTATCGACAACGGCATATTCCAATATCCGACTAATGAATTGAATAAGTTCCAGTTCGCGGTGGTTCTGGGACTTCGGTTTTGGAATTTAGCGGCTTTTTCTCCTTTCGGCGAGAAATAGAATCTTGCACGAAGGAGACGATGGTCCGATCCTGTATAGAATTTTGGGACAACAGCGACATCGGCTAGGCAAAACCTTCGATTTACTATGTTGTGGTCTATTTCGTTACCGTACTCTGCATTGGGAGACTCCCACGTCCAGCGCTGAGGGTGGGGCTTCTAGAATTACGAGTTACCATGAATTGTCTTGGTCGCCATGATGAACTCAGATAACCGCTCACCTTGTTCGTTCCATTCTAATTCGTGGGTCCCAATATGACGTCCTTCAGACGTTCTTCTTGGTCTAATCTTGGCGTTGAAATCACCAATGATGACCTTGAAGAATGTGTGGCCTTCTCCGTAGAACTTCTGCAAGCCCATATAGAACGCTTCCACTTCTTCTTCCCCATAGTTTGATGTCGGCGCGTAGACGACGAAGATTGTCAAAGTCGGAATTGATCCACATTTTTTCAAACGTAAACGTCCGATTCGCGTTGTTAGTTGTTCGAATGAATCGTTGTTCATGGACAAACTCGTGTTGACGAGAACGCCGACGCCGCCGACTCTTCTACTGTCGCACGTTCCGAGGAACAGTTCTTCTTCGGTGTCATAGACGGCGTTGAAAGGCTGGCGTCTCCTCGTCTTGACTAGGCCGATGACGTACCTTATCCTTCTTGCTTGCATGAGCAGGTCTTCTATCGAGAACTCGGATACAAGTGTACGTGCATTGTAGGTACAGATCGTCACCATAGTTCTTTAAAATCCAGGCAGCTTCCATTGGCCCTGAGTTTTTAGCAGCCTCTCCGTACTCGTCCTACCGCTGCGAAATTGGGGACTCTTTCGGGGTCAGGGGAATGAGGCCCGTCTTTTTTTTACTGTGTTTAGCATTTTTGTTACCCACGTATAGCTTGGTGGACTCTGAACATGGAGGCTGAGTATACTGACAGGACTCTGAACGTAGAAGTAGCTATAGTCACGGGTAGCCTGCCAGGCTCTCCCAGAGTGGACATGGAGTTTATTTGTTGGAGACGACTCCTAACCGCCTCCCACATACTTCCCAGTCACTTGATTGCAGGCTTTCGGCCGAATTGACTCGTGGAATACAATCCGCATAAGCAAGAACGCACCCACACACGCATGCATGACTACGCCTAGCAAATACAGAAAGTATGTGCCAAATCAGCGCAACAGAAACAGGGAGTCCATCCCCTGGATCCACCTGCGTCTCAGCGAAGCAAAGGTCGCTTTTGGTCGGCGATTAACCCCCTATCCGCCACCTGGGGAGCCTTGCGACTATCCGGTTCGAGATCCCTCATATGAGGGAGATCCGTGAAACATTTTATAGCTGCATTTATTTCGTTTGAAATAAAGGGCAAGGGAACGGAGCCTTGCTTTCGCTAGAGTTACTGCTCTGCGGTGTGGGTTTTCCTCTATGCCTATGCCGAGAATCTGCAGGTTCGTAACCATTTGAAATGGCTATTTGGTGCGCCAGTTTCGTGGATTCTTCCCTCTGCTCTGTGCACACGCTGACAGCGGTTCGAAACATATTTCTTATAAACGTCTTTTTAGTGTGTGAGGGATGAGAGGAGAGGTAACGAACCACTATATTCTTACTGCTTAGCTTTAGATACCATTTTGTGACGTAGCCGTTTCTGGATAGGTTGATTTGAACGTTTAGAAATGGAAGCCACTTTTCTTTCGGTTTCTCACGGGTGAATTTTATGCACTGTGACTGTTCGTTCAATAACTCAAAGCATTTGTCCATCACCCCTTGTGTGGAGCAGATGATAGCGCTTAGAATTGAAATAGTAGTCGATTAGCACCCACCTTTCTGCTTAGTGAACTCGCTTGGAATATAGTAACTATTCCTTAAATAGTTCCTATTTCTATGTTACCTTGTGTTTTCTACAACAGCTGTTTTACTTTTAACTGTTATACAACTATCTTTGCTTCGTCTCCAAATTGTCTCTTAACGATCATTTCATGCAGTTGCCTCGCAGCTGACTGGAAAGGGAACCAGCAGTAGTCAGCTGACTTTGTACTTTCCAGCATCTGCCGACCCAAAGAAGTTCCCGAACGAGCAGCTGCGCCCCTTCACATGTAGCCCTATCAGATTGTGCTAGTAGAAAAAACCTTTAGAATCTCCCTATAGGCGCTGTCTTTAGTTCGCTCTGGTAAAGCTCCACTACAGGCGTAATACAGGCGGCCCATCGGCATGCGTCTTCAAGTGTTCGCAGCGTTCCTCCACTGTTTATCCAGTCCCTCAATTCCTGATTGTTCTCATTTCAGTCTCGCTCGTATACACCCAGCTAACCACATATCGTCACATATCACATATCACTATTGTGCCGTTATTATTGTTATAAACTGTTATAACCCAAACTCGAGGTTGTCCACGACAGTTACGGAAAAGGTCCCCGTGGCGAATTCATACAAAGTCGAGCATTCCACGTACAGTTGGCGAACAAAAGACAAATCCGATCTACTCCCTAATCCACTGGCCAACTAGCACATAGAAAGCGGTTTTTTATATTTCTATGTGCAGAACAGAACTTTTCCAAAAACGCCCAACACTTCTGTGTTCTATAATTAATAATACTAAAAAGTGTAAGGAAATATTTCTATGTGTTAAAGTGAAGTACGAGAAAGAAAGTGAAACCTGTGGATGTCGTTTCAGCCACTCTCGCCAAACCGTTATGACACCTATAGGTGT